GAGAGAGAGAGGTGTAGATGATAGATCAGGGGTATCAAACTCAAGGCTTGGCGGTCAGATCCAGCCCACGGAGTGTTTAATCTGACCTGTGGGGCCACCCTGCAAAGTCGTAAATGTGAAAAATAGTCGTAAAACACTTTTTTCAGTTCTGTTGTAACTTTGAACAGTCACTAAATGAACTGTTGTAAGTTGAGGACTACCTGTATTTGCAAGACAGTGGCGTTGAAGAAGATTCAGAATTAACATTCTGTTATTCTCCTTCACAAGAAATTGTACCCTCCACTCTTTTTGCTGCCTTTTGTTGTTGTTAGTGGTGTAGTCGTGTCCGACCCATCGCAACCCCATGGACAACGTTCCTCCAGGCCTTCCTGTCCTCTACCATCCTCTGGAGTCCATTTAAGCTCACGCCGACTGCTTCAGGGACTCCATCCATCCACCTCCTTCTCTGCTGTCCCCTTCTTCTTCTTCTGCCCTCCATCGTTCCCAGCATGAGGCTCTTCTCCAGCGAGTCCTTCCTTCTCATGAGGTGGCCAAACTCTTTGAGTTTCCTCTTCAGGATCTGGCCTTCTAAAGAGCAGTCAGGGTTGATCTCCTCTAGGACTGACCGGTTGGATCACCTTGCAGTCCAAGGGACTCACAGGAGTCTTCTCCTTCAGCACCAGAGTTCAAAGGCCTCCATTCTTTGGCGCTCAGCCTTCTTTACGGTCCAACTTTCCCAGCCATACATTGCAACTGGGAAAACCATAGCCTTGACTCTACGCACTTTTGTTGGCAGGATGATGTCTCTGCTTTTTAGTATGCTGTCTAGATTTGCCATAGCTTTCCTCCCCAGGAGCAAGCATCTTTTAATTTCTTGGCTGCAGTCCCCATCTGCGGTGATTTTGGAGCCCAGGAAAATAAAATCTTTCACTACCTCTATTTCTTCCCCCATCTATTTGGCAGGAGCGGAGCTAAAACTGAATGAGTGAAGACCAACTCTGCCATCTGCTGTTAGCAAAGGCCTGTGACTTCAGAGAAGCTTTGCTAGACTCGGCTATCTCTCTTACAATGATAATAAATTCCTTTTATTTGCAATTCATTTTTTTCCAAACATACCATGGATTATTTAAAAAAAAAAAGCCTTTTGGCTACATTTTGTGCATTTCGACTCCAGGACGTTACCATAATTGCTGGTTCTTTCATACACCAAGAGAGTGGAATTAAGAAATAAGGCTTCGTTGTTTCAGACACCTCGACAGTTTTCTGAATGTAGGTCTCCAATTTCTCTCTCTCTTTCTTCCTCTCAAGGATGGGCAAAAAATAAAATAATGGCCAGTGGTGAGCCTCTATAGGTAGTTGCTAAATAATTGCCAACTGTCAGACATGAAATACCAGGTTTGTTGCTAAGCAAACAGTTGTTAAGTGACAGCAGTCTTCCAATGTTTGAGAAGTTGCCTCAAAGAAGAGGGGGTCAACTTATTTTCCAAAGCACCAGAACAAGAAACAATGGGTGGAAATTAATCAAGGACAATGGTTAGAATGCAATATTCCAGCCTAACTCTGCTGACTGCCAGCAGTTCGATCGTGATCAGCTCAAGGTTGACTCAGCCTTCCATCCTTCCGAGGTCAGTAAAACAAGGACCCAGATTGTTGAGGGCAATATGCTGACTCTGTAAACCATTGAGAGAGGGCTGTAAAAGCACCGTGAAGTGGTATATAAGTCTAAGGGCTATTGCTATTGCTATCATTCTTTTATCTCAGTCCTGTGTTAAGCTGCACAAGTCCATTCTAGATCCAAAGTTCATTAAGCAGCTGAGTAAAGCAAGACCATAATTGCATTTTCACGAAGAGGGGTTTAGCTTGGCTTGCAGGAGCTTCAAAAGGGAAGAAAAAGATCCCAAATTTGATCAAGATGCATGAGGGTAACGCATCAGCATGTCGCAGCGCAGCTGAAAGGTCCATCGGGAAACTATCAGCAGCTTGCAGGATGAAAGGCTAATACAGAGAGGAAACAGAAATAGATGAATCCGTCGGGGAGCGGCTTTGCAGAACAAAGTAGTAAGAAAGATTCCTGCAGTTTGCACACCGCAGATGCTCGTATGTGATGAATGGATTAATTATTGCATTCCTGCCAGGAATCTATTAATTTAAGGTACTTCAGGAGAGCCCTTAGCGATAATTTCTTGTATGTCAGGAGGCTTCACGCTTTTAGCTGTTCTGTTTCCTTTATCGTTGGAACTAAGAGGTCATACTAACTCCTTCTAACCCTGAGCAGTGGGTTGGACTAGAAGACCTCCAAGGTCCCTTCCAATTCTGTTCTGTTCTGTTCTAAGAGATCATACTAATTTCTTCGTCTAGCAGCACTCAACCACATCCTAAACTGCCTTAGATTTTATCAAGGAGAAAAGCATCAACATTACATTGCAAAGTTTCGTTGTAAGCGTGAAATCTGAAGGTTAATGGCTATATTGTGATGACCCAGGGTGGGATACAAAATAAACACAGTCACAAAAAACAGGTGAAGCCTCTTTTATTCCTTCACTTTGCTTCCCAGCTCCAAATATCCTTGACTGGAGACAAAAAAACTCCCACACAAGCAGTTACAAGAAGGAGGAAATGCCATTTAAGTTATAAAGAGTAAAAAGCAACACAGACCAGGCAAGATGAGGGCTGGAAGACGTCCACGGATACCAGAACACACACTGGGAAGGACGCCAAACTCAGAGAGGAACAATAAACTAGAAATAGTTCCATGCTTTGTTTCCAGCGTTCTCCCGTACACATGTCCGTCCTCTTATCCAGTTGTCACCGCTGCAGCCCATGAAGAGGATCAAGGCCCTCTCCTCCTTTTTTTTTTTTTTTTGAACAAATTTTATTAATTTTTAAAGACATACAAAACATAAATACACAAACACACAAAACATAAAAGCATAAAAAATCTCTTTTCTGAAAGTTGCTTAGTCCCGGGTTAAAACTCTTGGTACAGACACAAATTCAAATTCATATTCATTTTACATACCATTCCATATCTTATTAGCATTTTCAATTTTCTATATAACTTCTCCTCTCTTTTAAATTTTCTCAATTTTATTTTATTTATCTCCTCTCAATTCGAATCATAATATTTAATATTCTTTGTCTGTTCTATTTCCAGCTATCCATTTATCTTTCTTCTTTAAAAAAAAAAAAAAAAAAAACTTCTCCTGTACACTAAATGGAGTATGATGCCTTTATCTCTTTCCCCTATATTTATAATACTTAATATAGAACACATAACTTACATTGGGATTCTGTCTGGTACATTCTAAAATTATACAATATTATCAAAACCAATACAAATCTATTCATTGATATTGATATTCATTTATATCTTAAACATTTAACACATTACTTTTCAGTTAAATCACATACTTTTATGGGAGCACCTATTTTCCATAGTTATTCTCCCCCCCCCC